CATCAGGAAGATAGAATTTGTCTGAGAATGGCCAGAAATAAAAAATCGGTACAAGAGATAGACAGAGACAGAGTTATGATTTTATTACTTGAGTTCTTGAATCTAGTTATGCTCAAATCGTGGAACTTTTGATTACATGAGATGTGAATTATGTTCATTTGTTTCCTGAAGATATTTGACATGAGTTTTGTGTCACTTTCAACTCTAAGAGTCCTGATTGACTATAATATTCGTTTTTTTAGAGAGAGGGATTTTTGCTATAGGACATGCATACTCACTGGAGAGACAGAGACAGAGTGACAGAAAGCGAGAAATTACTCCCTGGGGTATGGCCACACCGCAATCCCTTCTCCTCTATTCTCCTCTTGGAATTTTGAGCATGTACCCACATGCACCCAGTGTAAGTTTCAAGCTGTCGGGCCCAGGACTCAAACCATGGTCAACTATGTGTAAATCCAGCAATGTATCCATTACTACATCTGCTGGTCCTGAGAATCACAACTTTGGGAAGAGGCTTTACCCACTTCGAGTTGATGATCCTGGAGGCTGTGCTGTGCTGTCCAACAAGTGTTAAGGATGTTTATTCAATATCTAAGTAACTAGCTTTAATAAATTTCATTATAATTTTTAGTCAACCACTTATTTCTGGACCATGGAAATTTATGTTTCTTTCAAAGTGATTTATGCTGTTGTTTTTCTAATGTTATCTGTTCACTGCACTGACTTGGACTTGGTAAGAATGAAAATTAAGTTAAAGGACAAAACTAGCTTTTCTCTTTTTTTAACTATGAAGATGAAATAAGCCTGAATCTTTTTGATGAGTCTGAGGTAACCTCTTGAACAGTTGTGGTTTTTTTTTTTTTTTTTTTTAGAGGTTTTTGCTGAAAGACAGAGACAGAGAGAGACAGACAGAAAGTGAGAAATCACCCCCAGGGGGATGGCCACGCTGCAATCCCTTCTCCTCCATTCTCCTCTCAGGATCTTGGGCATGCATGCACACAAATCTGGTGTGAGTTTAAGCCACTGGGTCTGGGACTCGAACTGTGGTCGACTACATGAGAGTCCAATGACATAGCCATTACACCATCTGCTGGTCCCATCTCAAACAGTTTTGAACAGCCTCAAAACACCTTTTATCTTGGCAACTACAGACATGTAAATGTTTTTCAGTATTTTATAAGTTTCTAAAATGTTTTCCTAATTTTTTCGGAAACGCTTTTTCCTAAAAGAGAGAACACGCCTATTTTACTCTTTTAGTTTTGTTGTTCACTCTCTTTCTCCTATACCTTTATAATAATTTTTATCTTCTTTAAAAAAAAGAAATCATGATTTGTCCAGGAGCAAATGAACGCAAACTTCTACAAAATAAGCATTTTCTTCCCCTCTACTCTCCAACCTCCAGACAATATTTTCATATCTTTTTGAATCTTGTAGGAGTAGTAAGCTCTCTTTAGTAACTTCTGGGCTACATAAGCCAGGTTAGAGTAATATCTGATGTTAATCTAGAGGCATGTATGCCCAGTAAAGCCAGAAAAGCTATGTACACAGAAAGGCCCTTTATAGCAGTAAGCCAAAGACAAGGGGAGTATTGTGAGACAATGAAGACAGAGCAGCACTCACTACCATTAAGGAATTCTTGGCTTATGAAACACCTGGTGTTGTGAGTTCTAAAGGAGATTTGATAACATTTTTTAAAAAATGTTACTTATTTTGGAGCCCAACAAATTTACCCATAAGAAAAAGTGTATTTATTTACTTACACCATGAATAAATGAGACAGGGAACGTGAGAAAGATAGGGTGACCCTGGGAACCAGCAGTTAGCATAATGGCTATGTCGCTGGACTCCCACGTTGTCAACCGCGGTTCGCTTCCCAGACCTGGTGGCTTAAAACTCACACCAGGCACGTGTGTGCGCGTGCCCAAGATCCTGAGAGGAGAATGGAGGAGAAGGGATTGCGGCGTGACCATCCCCCCTGGAGGGGTGATTTCTCACTTTCTGTCTCTATGTCTCTCTCTGTCTGTCTGGCGAGCGCATGCGCCCTATAGCGAAAACCTCTCAAAAAAAAAAAAAAAAGATAGGGTGTCCCTGCCAAGGTCTCGACCCTGTGACTCACCCCATGAATTAGCCTGGATCATGGACACGAGCATGCCTAGCATACTCAGGGAGGTCTCTGGACTCAAATTCACTTGAACCACATGGGTCTGCCTGGCAGGACATTGTGTCCCACTGCCATTCTACAATCCAGCCCTGAAAGTCCCCATTTTTAAACAAATGCTTAACTATTTTTCAAAGCTTATAGGTCTGGGATCATTAGGAAGTGTCGTGGTTAAGGCACTGGACTCCCACATGGTCAACCACAGTTTGAGTCCGGGACCTTATGCACCAGGAGCATGATCATGTGTGCCCAAATCCTGAGAGGATACTGGAGGAGAAGTGATGGCAGTGTGGCCATCATCCCTTGGGGGTGATTTCTCACTTTCCCTTTCTCTGTCTCTGTCTGTCTCTGGTGAACACACATGCCCTGTGGCAAAAATATTAAAACAAACCAAACAAAGAAAACTTACAGATTTTTCTGACTTAAGAAAGGTTTAAAGTCTCTACCTTCATAAACCCAGTCAGTTATTCCATTATATATTACATTTTCTTTCCCAGTCCATGTGATCCTCTGACTTGGCAAATTTGGTTCAATTTTAACGTAAATGTCATTTTCCCAAACATATGCCTAGAAAGATAACAAAAAAAAAATTAGGACCAATAATAACAATAATAATATGTTATAATATATTACATCTTGGAGTTTTTATTTGTTTATTTTTGTTTTTAATTTTGCTGTAAGTCTATAGGGTACATGCACTCACCAGAGAGAGATAGAAAGAGACACACAGAGAGAGAAAGTGCAAAAGTTCCCCAGGAATGCATGCTGTGATCTCTTTCTTTTCAGGATTTTGAGCATGCACACACATGCACCCAGCATGTTTTTCAAGCTGCCAGGTCCAGGACTCAAACCGTGAAGTCAGCCATATGAGATCCAACCTCCTTGACCACCATGCCACCTGGCTGGCCCATATCCTGGCATCTTGAAAACATTTATCTGTGCAAGTGTAATGAGTACCATTATTAGATATTCAACTCAAGACAGGACAGTCATTATGCTTGCCCCTTTTTAAATTTATAAGTATAAAGACTACAATCCCTATTTAATGCTAAACATTCTTACTCTGTTAAAAATAAGAAGCTAACAACTGCCACCATTGGGATACTAAAGTATATGAGAAGACCTGGCTGACTGACTACTTCAATAGGATGATATATGTTGGGGCATTTCTTTTGGCAGGGAGGTGGTGAACCAAGGGAATGCAGTTGCAACATGGGAGGAGAGAAGTTCAACTGCAGGTAAACATTCCATCTTCATGTATAGGTCATTTAGACTTCTGACGTTCTCCTAGAGCTATAGAATATGAAGATATATCTACAGTGATGTAGACATTCATAGAACCACAGAAAGAAGGTGTGATTCAAAAAATATCCAAGTATAATAGATAACTAGAACTTAAGAGTTTAATGAGTATTTTCCTAGTGAATAAACGATTTCCATCGAAGCTTTAAGGAGCTGTATTTGTTGTATTAGGCTTGAAAATATTATCTTGGGCAATAACACTATATTTTAAAGTGAAAGCACTGGCTTCCTAAGATAATCTACTTTGTATCAGAGTTAGTAGCCTCTGCCTATGAAAGATTTAAGTCAATATCTTTTTGACAACTGGAGAGATTTACTGACCAATTTATGACCCTCTGGTGACCATGCAATCCATTGTGTATTGTTTGGAATTCTCTCTTCTGTAATCAGCTTCCTAGAATAAAGATAAAAATAAGCATCACCAAAAGAGTAACAGTGGGCTTATTTTATTTATTTATTTTTTTTGGGGGGGTGGATTTTTCTGTAGGGCTTGTCAGAGAGAGAGAGGGAAAGTAAGTAATCACTCCCCAGGGTAGATGGTCATGCCTCAGTCTATTTTTCTCCATGCTCTTCTCAGGATTTTGAGCACGCACACACACATGCCCAGAGGGATTTTCAAGCCATCATTGCTAGGACTAGATCCACAATCAGCCATGTGAGAGTCCAGTGCCTTAAATACCATGCCACCTGCAGGCCCCAAGAGTTTATCTTTCTTAAAAATAAATAAATAAATAAATAAACAAAATTACTGTAGAAGAGCCTAATAGATTTGATGGGGAAGTCACTGACCTGAGGTTTAGGTCATAAACGGCATATGAGGCTGTGTAGGAATGCCTCCAGATCTATAAGAGAGAACAGACATGCCAGGCTTCTGTGAGTCCTCATTGTTTGGCCGTTTGCTGTAGAAGCTCAAGATGATAGATCTGGTAATATATGGTTGCATAATTCTCGAATTTTATTGTATCTTACAATTCCCTATGTAGATGCCTAGAATTTTGAAGTTCAAAAGTATCCTAGAGAACATCTAGTACAAACTCCTCTGGACTTTATCTGTAACCTTTGGCATTATCTCCTCCAATAAAACTTTTCAGGACCACAGGAAACCAATGTGTACTTTCTGCGCACACATTAATCCTAGCACTTGCCATAGCGTGAAAGACTACTTGTTAAGAAAAATGAAAGTTTTAACTGTTCTCATATCAAAAAAAAATTGATTAAATTTCCACATTTTATCATTCATACCTTCCTTTCCTGAATTTAGAATTATTTTGACACACCCTATGTTTGTTTGTGAGCAATCTCAAGTGCATATTTACTAAAGCCAAAAGATATAGTGCAGGCTACAAATATTAAGAAGGGTTGAGATCATTTCAGGATTGAAGAATCACCATTCAATGTAAAAGATGCTTGGCATGTTCTTTTCATTTTTGAAACAGAGTCATCAATTTATTTAGTTTATAAATGTTGGCAACTTTCATCTACCAGACATGACTGGATAACACGGGACCCTTCTCCTCAAAGACCACATAGTCAAATGCATAAGTGAAGTTAAATAAAGGGAGCACGATAGGATATGCCAAGAAATACAGTGAAGGTGAGTGGAAGAGGCAGAGATCATAAATTAGGTTTTGGGGAGAAGGAGAGGCTTTTAGAAAAGATGACTCTTAGGTTGAGTTTAGTGGCAGAGGACTGCTACACAAAGAAGGGGAAAGGAGTACTGTCGTAAAGCCAGGCAATGGTGCAGCAGTGACACAAGTGGACCACACAGGAAGGTTTCAGGTTTGTGTCCGGGGCCTCCCTGTACACACTGGGAACATGTGCGTGTGCTTCTTATTTGTGCTGACTGAGACTGAGGGCAGATCAAGACATGAAGATCCTGTTGAGATTCCCTCTCTTTCTCTCTTTTTCTCTCATAGAAAAAAATAAACTTAAAAAAAATAAGAACATTGCAGCAAAGAGAGATTGAAGCATAAAGAAAAAAATTATATTGAAGGACACGAGCTTTGGAGACCTCTACTCTGGAATCTAATCTCTACTGTGTAATATCAGGTAAGTTTCTTTCTAAGCTTCAATTTTGTTTTTAAAAAATGAGGATAATGACCACAACAATATCAGGTGCTTAGTGGATTCTTTAACACTGTCAAAAATGCAATAGATAATATAACTATTATTATCATCTCCAGAACATTAGGCAATAAGCAGTAATGCTGGCAGTACCTCCACGCCACATGCACAGTACTTCACTTATTTATGAACTTATTCATTCACTCACTTATTTATTTGTAGCCACAACTTGTAATTGCAGATTATAACATTCTGGATGCACTGACTCAGCCAAAGAAAACCATGTATTAGGATCTAAAGAATACTGGACAATGGGCCTTCAAGGACATGTGATGAAATTAGACTTTTCTGGGACCAGCAGTTAGCGTAACCAGGCTGTGTTGCTGAACTCCCATGTAGCCCACCGCAGTTCGAGTCCTGGACCCAGTGGCTTAAACTCACGACGGGCATGGAGAATGAAAGAGAAGGGATTGCAGCGTGGCCATCCCCCCAGGGGGTGATTTCTCGCTTTTTATCTCTCTGTCTATGAAAGATTTAAGTCAATATCTTTTTGACAACTGGAGAGATTTACTGACCAATTTATGACCCTCTGGTGACCATGCAATCCATTGTGTATTGTTTGGAATTCTCTCTTCTGTAATCAGCTTCCTAGAATAAAGATAAAAATAAGCATCACCAAAAGAGTAACAGTGGGCTTATTTTATTTATTTATTTTTTTTGGGGGGGTGGATTTTTCTGTAGGGCTTGTCAGAGAGAGAGAGGGAAAGTAAGTAATCACTCCCCAGGGTAGATGGTCATGCCTCAGTCTATTTTTCTCCATGCTCTTCTCAGGATTTTGAGCACGCACACACACATGCCCAGAGGGATTTTCAAGCCATCATTGCTAGGACTAGATCCACAATCAGCCATGTGAGAGTCCAGTGCCTTAAATACCATGCCACCTGCAGGCCCCAAGAGTTTATCTTTCTTAAAAATAAATAAATAAATAAATAAACAAAATTACTGTAGAAGAGCCTAATAGATTTGATGGGGAAGTCACTGACCTGAGGTTTAGGTCATAAACGGCATATGAGGCTGTGTAGGAATGCCTCCAGATCTATAAGAGAGAACAGACATGCCAGGCTTCTGTGAGTCCTCATTGTTTGGCCGTTTGCTGTAGAAGCTCAAGATGATAGATCTGGTAATATATGGTTGCATAATTCTCGAATTTTATTGTATCTTACAATTCCCTATGTAGATGCCTAGAATTTTGAAGTTCAAAAGTATCCTAGAGAACATCTAGTACAAACTCCTCTGGACTTTATCTGTAACCTTTGGCATTATCTCCTCCAATAAAACTTTTCAGGACCACAGGAAACCAATGTGTACTTTCTGCGCACACATTAATCCTAGCACTTGCCATAGCGTGAAAGACTACTTGTTAAGAAAAATGAAAGTTTTAACTGTTCTCATATCAAAAAAAAATTGATTAAATTTCCACATTTTATCATTCATACCTTCCTTTCCTGAATTTAGAATTATTTTGACACACCCTATGTTTGTTTGTGAGCAATCTCAAGTGCATATTTACTAAAGCCAAAAGATATAGTGCAGGCTACAAATATTAAGAAGGGTTGAGATCATTTCAGGATTGAAGAATCACCATTCAATGTAAAAGATGCTTGGCATGTTCTTTTCATTTTTGAAACAGAGTCATCAATTTATTTAGTTTATAAATGTTGGCAACTTTCATCTACCAGACATGACTGGATAACACGGGACCCTTCTCCTCAAAGACCACATAGTCAAATGCATAAGTGAAGTTAAATAAAGGGAGCACGATAGGATATGCCAAGAAATACAGTGAAGGTGAGTGGAAGAGGCAGAGATCATAAATTAGGTTTTGGGGAGAAGGAGAGGCTTTTAGAAAAGATGACTCTTAGGTTGAGTTTAGTGGCAGAGGACTGCTACACAAAGAAGGGGAAAGGAGTACTGTCGTAAAGCCAGGCAATGGTGCAGCAGTGACACAAGTGGACCACACAGGAAGGTTTCAGGTTTGTGTCCGGGGCCTCCCTGTACACACTGGGAACATGTGCGTGTGCTTCTTATTTGTGCTGACTGAGACTGAGGGCAGATCAAGACATGAAGATCCTGTTGAGATTCCCTCTCTTTCTCTCTTTTTCTCTCATAGAAAAAAATAAACTTAAAAAAAATAAGAACATTGCAGCAAAGAGAGATTGAAGCATAAAGAAAAAAATTATATTGAAGGACACGAGCTTTGGAGACCTCTACTCTGGAATCTAATCTCTACTGTGTAATATCAGGTAAGTTTCTTTCTAAGCTTCAATTTTGTTTTTAAAAAATGAGGATAATGACCACAACAATATCAGGTGCTTAGTGGATTCTTTAACACTGTCAAAAATGCAATAGATAATATAACTATTATTATCATCTCCAGAACATTAGGCAATAAGCAGTAATGCTGGCAGTACCTCCACGCCACATGCACAGTACTTCACTTATTTATGAACTTATTCATTCACTCACTTATTTATTTGTAGCCACAACTTGTAATTGCAGATTATAACATTCTGGATGCACTGACTCAGCCAAAGAAAACCATGTATTAGGATCTAAAGAATACTGGACAATGGGCCTTCAAGGACATGTGATGAAATTAGACTTTTCTGGGACCAGCAGTTAGCGTAACCAGGCTGTGTTGCTGAACTCCCATGTAGCCCACCGCAGTTCGAGTCCTGGACCCAGTGGCTTAAACTCACGACGGGCATGGAGAATGAAAGAGAAGGGATTGCAGCGTGGCCATCCCCCCAGGGGGTGATTTCTCGCTTTTTATCTCTCTGTCTTTCTGGCGAGCACACATGCCCTATAGCAAGAACCTCTCAGAAAAAAAAAAAAAAAAAAAAAAAAAAAAAAAAAAACTTTTCTTTCTCCTGAATACATTTCTTGAAAATTGATTAGTCAAGACATCTATGTAGCACAGAAATTTCTACAGAATATTCTCAGAAGTGAAAAAGAAAACAGGATAATTGGCTCCCTACTTTCAATAACCGTATAATTTAGTGATTCTCAATAAAACATGTATTCATTTAATAAACATTTGTTGAGTATCTGCTACGTGGCTCTGTCCTAGGTGCTAGGGGTATAGCAGTGACTAAAACACAGAGAAATTGGTGCTAAAATAAATAAGCCAGATTTTTAAAATATCAAATAAATAAATAATAAAATATTACAAAGTATTGTAAAAAAAAAAAAACTAAAATAGCCTAATATGATAGAGAGTGATTAGGGAGTATTGGTGGAACAGAGTGGCAGGGAGCATTGTCAGATGAAGTGATCCTAGAAAGCCTGAACCTAATTACCGAAAAGGCAGAGCATATGATGCAAGAGGGAAGGAGGCCCCAGGAGGAGGCATTAGAAAGTGCTTTGGCCCTCAATGAGAATGAGGATGATGCCTGAGTAAAAGAAAGAGCAGTGTCCTTAAAGTTCCTCAGCTGGGGATCACTGAATCTCCTGAAAACATTTACATCTATCCGTGTCTGTGTACAGCCCATAGCTAATCTGAGTTAGTTGCTTTGGAGTGGGCCATAGACATTGTGGTTTTTTTCTTTTCTTTTCTTTTTTTTTTTTTAAGAGGTTTTTGCAGTAGGGTGTGTGCACTCACCAGAAAGACAGAAAGAGACAGAGAGACAGAAAGCGAGAAATCACCCCCCAGGGGTGTGGCTATGCCACAAACCCTTTTCCTCCATTCTCCTCTCAGGATCTTGGGCATACACACACACGCACCCGGTGTGAGTTTAAGCCACCAGGTCCGGGACTCGAACTGCTGTTGGTTACATGGGAGTCCAGCAACATAGCCATTATGCTAACTGCTGGTCCTGACATTGTAGTTTTTCAAAACCTTCCCAACTGATTTATAATTCAGGTAGAGACAAGAAGCTCTGGCCAAACATGGTGAGTCAGAAGAGGGTCAAAGGAGATGGGTTCAGATAGGTGGTCTGGAGCCTAATCCCACAACTCGTAGGTGTTGTGGGTAGAGTAAATGTTTATTCTGAGTGTAATGGGAAACCACTGGAGGGTGTAAACTTAAGTGTGGCAAATGATTTAAAAGGAGCCGTTTGGATGTTGTCTGAAGCATGATGACAAGGGAAAAAGGGACAGAGTGAAAATAGCAAAAGCAATACATACACAAGGAAATCCAGTGGCCCACCAACTGCAAATCACCAGCAGAGGTCTACCTACCAGTGAAATGCATCTGTTAGTGCACAACAAACGGCACTTGTTCAACCTGGCTCAGTGGTACATTGTATTGGTATTGCCTTTGTGTTTCTATTTTATTATCACATGTCAGTATTTAAAAGGACAACTCTTCTTCAGTAGTTTTTAAGCCCTTGTTATCCATTCAAATAATCTACAGCACTTTAAAAAGATATTGATATCAGCTTTACCTCCAGGGACTTCAGTTTACTGATCTGGGGATTGAACCTGGACATGGAATTTTAAAAAACCTTTAAGTCAATTTCTTTAAATTGCCAAAAGAAGCACTTAGTTAAAGAAATGACCCATTAGTTGGGCACAGATGTGTTAAAATTAACAATGGATTCTGATTGCCTTATGGTTGATAGGTTTAGCAGAAGTATAGTCAGAGAGTCTTTATGGACAGGAAATGGAGCCTCCCACGGGAACCTAGGGTAAATATTATGATTGAAAGTCACCATTCTGACATGGCAAATGAAGTAGGGAATGGTTTGCTTGGCCTAAATACAAAAGTGTTGGTGTGTGAGATAAGGCCACTTAATATTTATACTGGGGGTGGGGGGAGCAAGGGCGGGGAATTCCCAGCCTTGTATTTTGTTTGCAATATGGAATATCACCATAGGCTTTTAACCATTTCTACACTATCAAAACTTTCTGTACTTGACAACTATTGTTAAATCCATGCACAACCGAAAAGCTGAAGTTAAAATGACCAGCTATTTGCACCTATTCTAAACTGGAAGAGGATGTGTGATGAAGCTGTAACTGTTCCTAAATGAATGAGAATGTGGTGTTGCACTGGGTGACCGACGAAACTAAGTGCTCCTGGTGATTGGGGCTGAACCTCTTCTCCTTACAACAGTTTGTAAATGGGGAACCTGAAGGCCAGGATGTGGTATAGGATGTCTTACAGAGACTGTTTTGGAGGACTAGAAGTTTAATTTTTTTTGAAGTAAGTATTTCAGAGGGTCTTTTCTAAACTAGAAGCAGAGACAAAGAAAAGGAGTTGTATCACTGGACATACAAGCCAGCCATGTAAACTTCCTTCTAAAGTATAGATAAATACCTATTACAAAATTCTATTAACTTATTGATATCTATAATAGTGTTAATTATGCTTTTTACTGTCTGAAAGGACTAAAAATGAATTTCTTTTTTTTTTTTTTAAGAGGTTTTTCACTATAGGGCACGTGTGCTCGCCGGACAGACAGAGAGAGACAGAGAGACAGAAAGCAAGAAATCCCCCCCCAGAGGGGATGGCCACGCCGCAATCCCTTCTCCATTCTCCTCTCGGGATCTTGGGCATGCACGCACACGCACCCGGCATGGATTTTAAGCCACCGGGTCCGGGACGAGAACCGTGGTCGACTACATGGGAGTCCAACGACATAGCCATTATGCTAACTGCTGGTTCCCAAAATGAATTTCTTTAGAAACATTTGTTGGGCTTATCTTTTATGAATGAGAATGATTCTTTGATTTGGAATTAATGATATCTTAGCAACTATTACATTACTTACATGTCAATCTTTTTTTTAATTTAAATTTATTTATTTACATTCATTCACTGTACATCATGACAACATACAAAATGATTTTCCATCCAGAGTACACTGTATATTGGCTCAATCAAGCACATCAGCATACATGTTATCGTCAACAAATAATTTTCCATTTCTTGTTTTCTGTATGTTTTGCTTTTTTTTCCTAGTCTTTGATTATCTATCTCTTACCCTCTGCCATCTCCCACTCTCCTCCCACACTGTCTCTGGTATCTATGTTTGCTTTCATGTTAATCTTAAGAAGCCATGTACTTGAAATAAGTTATAAAATAACATACTCTAAAGTTATTTCAATCCACACTAAGGAAACATTTATTTTACCTTGACATAGTTGTATTCCAAGAGAACAAACTGTAGATCAGAAGATACCAAAATATCACTTAAGGAATGCCCAAACTCATCCTGTCAATCAAATAGAAAAAAGAAAATTGAGCAATTCAATTAAACTGCCATTAAGTACTTAATATTGTTCTAGACACATGACTTATACCTTGGAAGTGCCCTGTTCCAGAGGAATGGCACATTCACTCACACAGATAACCATGATACAAGGCAGATGACAATCAGGGTTAGAAAGCCAGGGAGGGAAGGATTAATTCTAACCAAGGAAAGATGGCCGTGAGCGTGGGGACCAGGAACAGTGAGAACTTTCTCAGCAGGAGGAACAGCATGAGCAAAACCCCAGGTGTTGGTAAGAGTGGACATGCTTGAGGAATGTGTAAGAGTTATGTGTAACTTAAATGCAGTAGGGGGTGTGTCAGACACAGTGGAAGGTAAGAGAACATCAAATTAGAAAAGTGGCTGAAGCCTAAATATAAGAGGTGGAATTGTGACCTGTTGTTTGCCTATGGAAGTGACAGTATCATATCTATTACAATAATCTGGCAACACAGCTGAAAAGAAGGGGAGGGCAGACAAACTGTATCAGCCTGGACTTGTGCAATGCTGTGGTCTGGCCTACAGGCCTACAGAATGAAGACAAGGACACAAGTTGCAGCAATTGCTACAAGATTAAATGAGTGTGGTTGAACCAGAACTAAACAGTGGAAATGGAAATCTTTGAGCTACTTACAGAGGGGAAACTGATAGGGCTTGTTGAGGAACTAAATATAGAAGATGACAGAGAAGTCAAGGTTTCTGAGGTTTCTTGTATAAATGACTTGGAGGAGAACTGAGGCACTGTTTACCAAGAGCGGGAGCTCAGAAAGAGGAATAAGATGCTTTCAGTTTGCTAGAATTGTGAAGGGGAGACAACGAATTTAATTTGGGATACTGAGTTGAAAATGCTTGTAGGCCATCCGTGTGCAGGAGCCAGCAGGCTACTGGAAGCATGGATCTTGGGAGGAGGTTAGTGTTAAATGCGTGTATTTGAGAATCAAGGCCAAAAATGAGAGTGCTGATGCTGTGGAAGTGTATGAAATTCATGTAAGGAGATCATGCGAAGTGAGGAGAGAGGCCAGCAAGGGAAGACAGAGCCCCGAGGAGCACTTACATTTAAAAATATGGGCAGAGGAGGAGGAATCGTCAAAAGATACTAAAAAGTAGCCAAGGCGGGGAGCATTTCAAGAAGGAGAGAAAGATCCACTGTGCCATATGCTGCAGAGAGAGTCCAACAGGATGAGAAATGATAGTACTCATGATTTGAAAGGTTATGAAAAAAATTCCCCCAGAATTTCATGCATGAATTAATTATGTGATTAAACATACAAATGTACTGTTCTCCAAGAAAATGGAGCTGTTTCCATATTCAGCACTGAATAGCAAGATATTATTGTCTTGTTTGTAGAGATATTCATGATCTAAAGAGAGAAAATGGCCAGATCATTATTTCAAGGTACTGTTAACACTTTCATAAGCTAACAATTGTGCAATAAAGTCTAAGATTTAAGTTCACACAAAGATTAAATAAGGACTTTTTAAGATGGAAAAACATAAATAAAGAATATTACACTAACAGACATTCCTTTTTTCCATTCTTATTGTCAAGGTTTAAATTCACATTTAACTTTCATAGTTCCTATCAATGAAATACTTAGGTTTCCCTTTGTCTTTTCTCCTGCCACACTCTACGATAGAAAAAAAAAATTACTGTTCATCCCAGTTTTTAAAAATGCTATTTGGGACTGCTAGTGGCATGGTGGTTAAGGTGGCTGAACCCCAGATGACTGACTGAGAAGTTCAAATTCCAGATCTAACAGTTTGAAAAACACTCTGGGCATGTGTGCATGTGTGCTCAAAATCTTGAGAGGAGAATGGAGAAGAGATTACGGATGGCCACCCACCCCCCTCCCGGGTGTGTGTGGGGTGCTTTTTCCCTTTCTCTCTCTCTTTATCTTTTTCTTTCTGGTGCATGCATAGTCCCTATAACAAATAAAAAAGAAAAAGGAAAAAGCAAGCTTTTTTAGGGCTAGCCCCATAGACTACTGGTTAAGGGAGCCAGATCTTACATGGCCGGCTACAGTTCTAAATCCCGTCCTTGAAGGCTTGAAAAACACATCCTGGGGACCAGCAGTGGACATAATGGGTATGTCGCTGGACTCCATTTAGTTGACCATGGGTCGAGCTCTGGACCTGGTGGCTTAAACTCATGCTAGTGCATGTGTGTGCGTGCCCAAGATCCTGAGAGAAGAATGGAGGAGAAGGGATTGCGGCGTGGCCATCCCCTGGGGTGCGTGGGGGGGTGATTTCTCACTTTCTGTCTCTCTGTTTCTGTCTTTCTGGTGAGCACATGCACCCTATAGCAAAAACCTCTCAAAAATAAAAAAGAAAAAAAGGAAGGAAGGAAGGAAGGAAGGAAGGAAGGAAGAAAAGAAAGAAAGAAAGAAAGAAAGAAAGAAAGAAAGAAAGAAAGAAAGAAAGAAAGAAAGAAAGAAAGAAAGAAAGA